CACAAAATGTCAGGTTCCGGCGAGATTCGAACTCGCGTTACTGGATTCAAAGTCCAGGGTGTTAACCGCTACACTACGGAACCACCGCTGCTTTCTCGTCTATGTATTCTCACTAATGGGGAGCCTGGAGGCTCATAATATGGGAGTCAGTTTGATGGGCCTGAGGAACGACCGTGTTTAGGGCGGAGCTACTCATTCATGTCCCGCAGCTCAAAATACGTATCCTAGTCCTGCTCGCGCTCGCTAGGCCCCATATCGTTCTGAACCTTCTCAATTGGAATCGAACCTGTTTGGTGGTTTGAAGTAACCTCGGAGTTGACTTGCTCTCTGAATCCTTGCTCAAGACATGGATTCAACGCAAAGGCATTCAAACGCCTCTGCGTTAATGCGTAGCCCAGCAGGAAGCGTCTAAAGCGTTAATCGTTCGTATCATAGCTTTTATACATTTCAACGCCTGTACATTAAAATACAATCACAAAACTATAGAAAAAAGTTTTAAATATCAGCCAAAGTGCAAGTTTCCCATTCCGACTCAGGAGCCACGGTCCAATTGGGACTCTGTGCCTCAGCTAGCCAGTCGAAGTCATTTGGGCGCATCCAAGCATCACCACTCGGCGCTTCGATGCTTTCGTTATTGAAGATGACTCTGGAATGAATGTTCGCTGGAAATAGTAATAGAAAACAAGTGTAGGCTGATCTGAAAAAGCAATTTTTACAGCAAAAGAAAGCAGACGACTTATTCTTTACCCTTTACCCTACGCGACTTCTGTTCAGATCTAGTACATTCACGAAACTTGCTATAGCCACCACAATAGCGCACTGTCACCCGTATCATATGTCATCCCTTGGTCATAAAACTCTCCGAGCGGGCGGCAGTAACGTCTCCCTTCGCTGCTGTTGCGAGCGAGAATCGTCCAGTAGATTCTACTAGATCTGATACAACGGAGTTTCATCCTTTCGTGCAAGCTTTCGTGAAGATGTCTGATCAACGGGCAGGCGGTTGCCCTAGTTTTAGTGTACAGTCACGTGGGAACGGGTCGGTTAAGCTCGTGCCCGGCCCACTTCTTTGATTCCTTGACAAAAACGGCAGCGTTCATGATCTTCGAACTGTTCTATAAGCTCGACACCTCAGACTCCTCTTCTTCTTTCTCCAAGCATCATCCACTTCATAGCGCGCTGGATACCGTTCACCGCATGCTCAACCTGAACGCGCAGAATCCACCTTACTGAGGCGTTGTCAAAGGCATATGGATGAGTTGGTACTAGGTCTAGAACGCTAGCAGAGTGCTGTATGGTGGAAAAATGGCGGAAGAGAAGTAAAACGGCCAAAAACCTGTGAGGAAAGCCTTCGTTTCAATGACTCAAAAAGCAATTTCGGACGAGTTTCCCGTAGGCATCTTGCCAATAACCGCTACGGTAGGTACGGCTGCACGTATGTACTCATATATCCATGCAGCACCGCGGCCGCTTCATATCAATCCCTTCGCTTCATATTTTACTTCGCAAATGAAGCAATACGAGCATCAGGTACGGTCGTCCATTTGTGGGCGGGCGGGCGCGGTGGGCGTCCGGGTCGGTATGTTGCAGCTTGACAGGGCCTTATAAGGGTACCTTTCCTTGGAAAAGGCGCTACGCAGCGCCTGCTCAGGGGCGCGGAATTCCGTCCTGCCAGGCATATTAATCCTACTCGTCTCAGGGATTTATCGTGCCAACTC